TCTGAACTTTCGAGGCTTTGATGAAGGCGGAACTGCCAAAAGGGCAGGTCAGGCCATTGTGGATGAAAAATACTACAATAACAGCCTCATGCCTGCTCATCAAGAAAGCAGTGAACTATTTTTCGAAACACTTCTTCGGAAAAAATATCTAGCAAAATTAGTTGACGAAAAAAGAATGAAAACGACATTGCTCGATGGCTGCTATGTTGTAGTATTCATGAGTACGGATGAAGCGATTTATCAAAGTACAATCAGTATCAACAACTGTCCTGATCTGTTCCTCCTATATATATAAAAGAGCACTGCTGAGTGAGATTATTCGTGTGGTGGACTCCACGGATTCGATTCGATGCAATCACAAAGACGCACATTTGAAGGAGGAACAAATGTAGACTATCGTCTCGGATCAATCCAGCTCTGAAGAAGACAAAGCACCAAGACGTTAGCCGAACAAAGATTTTTTATTAACCTCGTGCCAACTTGCCAGTGGAAAAATACAAAAAAGATACAAATGAATACCCTCGCATACCAAACTTATAAACCAATTAGCTCCATACTGAGCTGAAAGGCCGTTATGCACGGACAAATATTGAAAATCAGGTGTGTCAGGTACATGACGCGACATAGAAAGCTGCAGGAAGACTACCGATACGATGGCCAAAATTCTTAACGAAAGTTCTAGAAGAAATACATAGCAGTCAGCGAACAGAACCCACTAGAATATGAATATTTTAGACCCAATAAGCGGAAATGAATATATTAGTGGAACTGGTTCCATTCAGTGCACAGCCAACGGGGGAGAAGTGGTACAGGCGATACAGAGCTAACTGTCGAGGACTTCTACCACTGAACTACAGTTGACAGCTTTTCTATATACACTTCATCGCACTACCATATAAAAAAGGAGTCACAATAGGAGATACCATTTTGTTGATAGTCTTTCTTTACGACACATTAGTGTGGATGCAAACAGCTGATCTCTTCTCTACATTCGATTATTTGAAGATGACATATTCATTCGTCGCCGCGGTAGAGTCCATCGTGTGTCAGTCTCTATGTACCAACCATCGGTATGGTAATGCCTTCCTTCATTCAGAAAATCGCACACGAGATTCATCATATTCACTGGGTCACACCTCCAGCAGAGGCGTTATCGCTACCGATAAAAAAAGTTGATCAACCCCTGAGATAGGAACCACGCATTCGATTTCATTAAGTTTCGTTTGAGGTGATTTATTGCATATCTGGCCTATATGGTATATCTCTAACCATTACGCTACGCGTGCCCTACATATATATATATATGTATAAGCATATATATGATTTTATATGCATATATACATATGAAACTTTTCCGAAATGTTACTTTCATCATGAATTTTTCTTCTAAAAATTATAGAAATACGGCTACAACAAAGACTTAAAAGGGCAACACAAGTGCTCCAACGGCCCTCATTATTAACGCTATCGGAGGCTGTCATCGCGTTCAGATGAATGCAAACCGTGTGTTCATACGTTTCGATGTACGATGTGTAAAATGTTTTGATTTTTATCTTCTTAAAAATGATCTGTAAATCCTAGTGACTTTTATTTCATTTAATGAAGTTCACCGTGAACTAAGACATCTTGTTTGAAGTTGAAACAAGGATTTACTTTGGGCCACATCCGTATTGAAATCACTGCACACGGCCGTGAATGTGTTGACGTGCTAGATGATTGCCTTATGCTTGTTCTAGTTCTTATTCCCTAGCGTTCTTGGAAATTACCCAAATTGATACAGCTTAGATTACAAGCCAGTTCTCCTTAAAATGGTGTCATTATCTGTTTTAAAATGTTATAGTAATAAACTACAAGGAACTGTTGCTAAAATTTCTGAACTATTAATGAAACCGTCCATGCAAGGCGGCGGTTAGAAGAGGCGCCCTGCAATACATATGGGATCGATCCCGCGTTCCAGGCTCACCACGCCTTCCATCCCTTCGGGGTCAGCAGATTGGTACCAGACTTGTCTGGGAGGATAGCAGCACTGATTCAATACACTGCTAGGCCACCAGATGTCATTGTATAGGCCAGATACGCATTCAATCATTACTGGTATACAGCAAAATTATGCAGGGCATTATCACTTCTTGCACACAATCTGAATAACTTATGTCCGTACTTGTGGTTCTTGTGCTCAATATACTAATGGGAAAGCACTGTTCTACCAGACGATACCAAGAATTCGCAGACACAAGCACACTTTCTTGGCAAATATATTCTGTTGCTGTTCCTATTTAGCTCGGTTGGCGGCCTAATCTTGTACAACCTCCTGTCGGTACTAATTGCGTTACGGATTCAACTTTGCCAGCAGAACTTCAAATCTGCCTCTTATCACGACGTAAGCTACAAGAGGATGGCATGCAAGAGGAAGAACTACAACAATCCTTTAATTGCGGTGGTCTAATAATGCAGACTCAGGACTTACACCAATGAACTTTCATAACGGGGAACATTCTTCGCTTTCTATACTTCGTCCTATACTACGTAGCTGCACGTTCCGCCCGTAATCGGCTCCTGGATTTCATCTCTCGCTTCTGTATGAATAACGCAAAACCTTTAGATCCACTGCCGACTGAATCCATTCTCATTCCCCAGCTTTTTTTTGATAGAAAGCATAAGAAGCTCTACATTACCCTTCAAATCCCCAGTTTCTTCAGCATCATCCTTCATGAGAAGTCGATCCAGACCAAATCTAAATATTCGAAGCCGACGTTAGATGACACGGAACAAGACTATGATGTCCAATAATATTCAACTGTCGACGACTAAAAAGTAATCCAAGACGATAAACAAGAGATTCAATATAAGGAATGAAGTCAACAGGAATCGGCCATCTCAACTCTATTTACTGATAACAGTTGAACACTTGAATACTTGAACAGCCCATCCTCATTGGTTATGCGGGCCCCAACATAATCACCATTTATCGGAGATTTGCTGGTTAAGCCATTGTGGTTCTCTGGAGTCCCGAGGTCAGCCTGGCTAAAGTCTGCCCCAGGTCTCCCCCACCACGGGGAGTCGCAGCCCCTGAATCAGAGGTAGATTTGCCACCATGCAACTTTGATTCGAGGACGGTGGCGGATCCTGATGTTTGTTTACTCTTAGCTATGCTTGCTGGTGGAAACGCCATACTCCACAGCTCGGGCGACCCTGCTTGGGGGACGAGTCACCCCGCTGTACATGGCAGTCCGACACCCAAGAACACCTCCTAGCCACGATGAGGCGGTAAACCGTTGGGGATTGATAACAAGTGCGGAAGAAAAAGGGAGAAGCGTTGTATACGCCACAACAAATCAATAGGAAAAGAATGACCCACACACAAGTCATAACCGCCACTCAGGACGCCCTATGTAGAGGCATAAATCCATACATGCTGTTATGCGCTAAGCAATAACTCCAGTCCTCTCTAGCAGTAACCATACCTCCTCCGTGACTATTAAGGACCACTAACTTGTTAACCCATGCCTCCTATGATTCCGCCACATTTCTATCCGATTATACTTCTTCCTAGATAACGACCTCCTTCATCCCGCACTACCTAGGCGGTCTATTGCTAAAGATGCTTTACTACTGTTAGCGATCCTATTCGCTCTTTGTGTTATCGCTTATTGGCCACCTTACTACTTCTATTGTTCATGTGAACACTTACAAATTTCGCCATGTCGCTGTTCTATTAATATTCTCTGTATCTGAATGTTTAATCACGCAAGTTTTAGACTTAGCGTAATGGTATACCGAAAAGACCTGGGTGGCAGAACAACACAATTTCTCACATATCGCACGCATTAAAGAATCTTCACTATACTGATGTCTTCAAAAGTATCCTTCAGACCAACTCTACGAAGGTAACCATCAATTTTCATGTATAGTTCTTTAACAATCAAGCCGGAAATTACTGATATATAGATGGTACATCGCCATAGATGAGCAAACAAAAACGCGGCGATCTACCTACAATTTAAATTCTGTAACTCTCGAATTACAAACATTGTGCAAAGGTTTGATGGGAAGAACAATGTGTAATACAATCCTCGCAACCGTTCACAAATACAGACCACACAATGCTAAAGAACTGATGAACAAACGGTCATCTGTGTAGTCGAAAGATAAGTGATGGATATTGTGAATAACACGGCAACATTTGAGCGAAACTACCGTTTAGAAACCAAAAGACAACATCCAGACAAACAAGATGGTCAGGTACTTGCATAGAATTCAGAATTCATGGGCAATGCTTTATAAACAGATAATTTATAAGTTTGAGCTCTCTACCTCTCCCTCTTCATCTTGGGGAAAAAATCGCGCCAAATAACCAAGAATCTTAGGATAGCCCACATAACAAAACATACCCGATGCATGTTGGTAGCTATTTATCTTATATATTCACCATTACCATTAACTCCGATCACTTAACATGTTGCATTGTGTACAAATCCCACTAACCGTTCCTTTTAGCAAGATGACAGAGACTAGCAAATAAGCTGAAATTACGGCCAATTCACATATCTGCTGAAGACCCGCTAAACTGAGATAGCTGACTTCGATGGAGTAGTGCTTAAACAACACATATTTTTCGTTCACACATGCTCTACTCTATACAGATTAAATTCTAGACTTAACCAGTATGACAACACCGATCAATAAAGGGCACAGCAGTAGCTACCATAAGGATTTGAATAAAAACATAATCCATAAATAATAGAACTCTCAAAACGGCAACATAATAAAAAACAAAAGAGGAAGCAACGAACTAAATGAAAAAAGGAAATAAAGTGTTTACATTCGACAAGATGTCGTTTTCATAAGAGTTCAACAAGAATATCATCGAACAAGTTTTGAAATAAATTAAATTGAACAAGCCATGATACAATCGTCTATGTAGGCAGTGAACGTGTGAACACGTGAGTATTTCTGAACAGCAAAGGAGATCTAGGAAGATCCTGATGAATGTTCAACAGCTAAGCCACCGAAGCTAGCACTGCGGGCCAATAGACAGATGCTACATTTAAAATTAGACGAAGATCAGAGTGATCGCAGTCCACTATGGCACGAACACGCTCCGGGGACAATGTGCCTTGTGAAGACGGCGAGCTCCGTGAGACCTTGCAACAACGATATAAGTTGAAAATTAACGAACATAAGAACACCTATGCGTACTTCCAATAGAATTTATCTTTAAATCTGCATTAATAATAGAATTAATGTCAACTGTTTATTTACTACCTACTACATTTTTTCACGGATAGTTATTATGTGAGATGGAACCACAATGACGCTGAGATATTTGCAAAACTCCGGACCGCAGGTGTCTGCGGTGGTGATCGAACACGTTATTACCCTCGCTGGAGGCTAACGCGTTCACCACCACTCCATGCGGGCCCTTAGTTTCGCCCCTCTCAGCTGATTTTCTATCTACAAGAATTAATATCTATTCTTCAACGCCTGATTTTCGTTGCGGACTCCGTAATACGACGCATAAATTTTTATTACTAAGGAGCGAGTCCAACTAGTACCGAACTATATTTGTACACCTCTTAATAACTCGAAAGACCGACTTTCTATAAACCTCGGCATAGGTAGTTGATATATTTATGTGATATTATAAACTGATCCTCTTAAGCCGACGCGAGGTTGGTACAGATCTTCGTTGTCGTTGTCGTTGTTTTTGATGTTGTTGATCGATGGCTGACGTTTCGGCGACTTCGCCTTGCTCAGAGTCTGTACGTACTTTATGTTGGAATACTTTTTATTATTGGGTGGAAAAGAAGGTTAAATCTTTAACTTTTTTCTCCGCTGCGGTTTAATCGTTGAAATAAAAATCATCAATGAGATTCATTGATTCATCGCCAATTCATCTTTTTGTTTTTCATAAGCACATTTTCGCCTGGATTTTGCACTTGGTCTTCACTATTTATTCAAAACGTTAGGCAACAGAATGAAAATATTCTTCTATACTCAAAATGGCGATCGAAAGTCTGAAAGCCTCAATTTTTTATCAAAACGATTTCGTTGGGTTGAAAAAAATGTATTTGGTAAAGGTTCACTTAAATCCCATGACCGACTTTCTGTTAACCTCGGCATTAATTGATAATTCAATGTTTTTCATCAATAAGCAGACACGAGGTTGTTAATATAGAATTTATTAGAACACAATTGCTGACGTTTCGGCGGTTTCGCCTTCTTCAGAGCCTGGAAAGGTCAAATTGAGATGCGATCTACTCAGCCAAACACTTTCATAACCCCAGCAGATAAAACTTGATAAATCGATTTGTGTTCGCATAAGAAACAGCTTCATTCAAACACCTACCGTTTATTTGTCGTAAGTATTTAAGTTAGTTTGGTGGATAGCCGCCGCACAGAGTAATACATGGTCGATAACTGGGTCCATGTCAGATCATTGGATCAGCCTGAGGTATGGCGCTAGGTCACGCGTGATGACAAGACACTCCTCCTTGCGGTTCATTTTTGAATTTTTGGCATTGATCCAAAACGCTTCAAGAGTTTTTCGCGCTGATGTTTTCGATTCCTGCGTAAGGATAGTGACTCCTACCTCAAAATCTTCTCCGTTGTGTTCTTGCATCCTATGCGCGCCTAGTGGAGTATTGTGTTTTAGTTTAGATTTACCGACTAACATCAAAAACAACGACAACGACAACGACAACGAAGATCTGTACCAACTTCGCGTCAGCTTAAGAAGATCAGTTTATAAGATCACATAAATAAATATATTTGTACAGCACAGAAATCTTAGTACTCGCCTATACGCTTAGATATATAGTAGTTTCCCATAAAGGAACGAACAAACTGGCTAGAATCACCAAAGCCAATACAGTTATATAGAGAAATTTGTTCACAGTTTCAATAAAAAGGATAAAAGGATAAAGCTCTCTGCGTTGATCTACCCCCTAGAGATGCACCACCCAATCGACTTCATTAAGTGTCGGTTAGAGGTAATTGAATGCATTTCTGGCCTTTGCAATGACTCGCAGTGGACTACCGATGTATAAAGCCAGTGCTGGTATCCTCCCAGACAAGTCCGGTAACAATTTGCCGAGCCTGGAGGGATGGAAGGTTTGGTGAGCCTGGGAAGCAAGAACCGATCTCATTTGTATTACAGGGCGATTCTGAACACTGCGCCACATGCGCCCTTCAATAAAATTAAAGAAAAACTGCCTCCACTAATTTGAGGCACTTTTAATAATTTACATTTACTAATAAAACATTTGAGCAAAGCACCTATAAATCAACAAAAGTCAGGAGCTGTAGTTACGAACTTACAATTTCGACTAAACTTAGACTCTTGCTCAATACATCCGATAGGGAATCCTCCAAGAAGCTTATCAACAGTTTAGGAGCGTACCCAACACGATAAAGGTCACAAAACTGCTCCAACATAGAAACCACAGCTTCCGATGGTGAAAATACCTCTCCCCATCCTTCGTTCGATGCCACCTGATATAAGAGAAATACAGTTCAGTAAACATGTTTTTTTTTTCTTAAGTTGGCTGACATACTTGAACACTCCAGGTATGAGTGTCGGCTAGAATGATAACGTTGTCGGGAAGTTGAACAGGATCACAGATCGAAGATGACGACATCGACGACGACAACGATGTCGCAGCAGCTCGATGACACGCAGTATCTTCACAGCGAACGTCATCAATCATTCTAAAGTCTCATGGAATTACACGACGAATTTCGATTCTTTAAAAACAATAGTTCATACTGGAACACGAAAAAGTTTTTATCATGCTTTTCAATGATAAGATTTCTTTTGCGAGGATCTTGAACCGATTGATTGAAGAATTTAAAAAGTAAGGGTGAAATATTTAAACGACTAGCAGCACATCAAGATGATAAGGCAGTTGGGTACTTTGTTTCCTAATGATATGACCAAAACCATTTAATTTCGAAAAAAAAAAACATTTTGCAAGTGATGGAGACTCACTTAGCGAATGCCTCATTGATACGACTATGGCTTCCGATCAAACCCGACAACACGAAATGTGGTGAGTAGTCCGAAAATGGTCCTGCGAGCAGTGAACGACCAAGTCCACCTGCGGGTGGCATTGAAGGAAAATCGTCGGCGACGGAGGAGAACGCATGACGTTCACGTCGAGAACGACCACCGGTGAGGGATGGTAATGATTCCAACGAACAAGATGACATAGCGTCTTCTTCAATACCTGAAATACCTTCTATTATGACAATAAGGAGCCAGACAGAAGGTATTAAAGATGAGTACAGTAACTGTTGCCATTCAGTTAACTCTCATTCTCTGAACAGTTAACGAATTTTCATTCTTTCATCTAAATTGAGAATCGACTCTAAATCGACTCGCAAGCAACGCTATACGTCATTTAGGGCACTGACGACAGTGCTCATTTTTCAAACACTTCTGTGCTGAACTAACACTGCTCTTCTCTCGCGCTGTATGAGTCACATAAACCTCATATTGGCTCGGGTGTCTGTGTTTTTCCAATCACAAATGACTTTTTTCTCATATTCTCCTGCACTGGAAGGTTGATTCCATATATATTTTTTTGTACTATAATAAATCCCCGAAAGAACTACTTTTTATGACTACTGTCAATATTAGACCGAAGCAGTCTTTCTCACTGATATTGGTTGTAACAAATCTACTGGTCAAAAGTTGCATCCTCGTTTAAGCAATGTCATAGGAACCCTAGAAATAAACCGTAATCAATTTGAAATTTTCGAAGAAAGCGACTCTATCAACACCCTTTCAGTATTTTATAACTATGGTGAGATGAATGTTCAGTCTATAACATAATCACCATAGCTATCTACCAAAAATTCTTAGTGCGTGAAAAGCTGCTCGAAATGACCTGCCTAAAACTCAGGCAACGAAATAAGAAAAAATTGTCGACATCGATTTTCAACTTTGCTTTATAGTGCGTGTTTGCACATCTAAAGATTGTTGATGAGCGTAAACTAAAGAAGATAGGAAGAATTAAAGATAAGAGTATTTGAAATATTTGACAAAGTTGCTGAGATTCCCAACTTAAATACTCTCATGATTGATCTTACGAGCAACTTATGCAACGTGCACGTGAACGGTCCTCCCAACGGTTTAGCGCCTCATCGTGGCTGGGAGGTGTTCCTGAGTGTCAGGCTGCGATGTGTAGCGTGTGGATTCAACCCTCGAGCAGGGCCTCCCAAGCTGAAGGGTCCGGTGTTTCCATCAGGAAGCCCAGCTAAGAGTAAACCAACACTAGGATCCATCACCATTTTCGTATCAAATTAGTCGCATGGTGGCAAACTTTCTCATCCACAAGAGCTGCGACTGCCTGTGGTGGCGACGACCTCGAGCAGACTTTGACCAGGCTGACCTCGGAATTCGAGGGAACCAAAGTGGCGAAACCAACAAATCTCCGAAAAAATGGAGATTATGCTGAGCTCGCACTACCTCTGGGGACGGGTCGTCCAACTAAGTAAGCAAGCAAGTACATGAAACGTAAGATCACGTGGTTTTCCTTGAAGATTTTCTATACAGATAAACAATACAGAAAATACTACGAACGACGAATCTAGTGGTCACCAACTATGCATAGTTCAGAAGCAAAAAAGGGCCGCCAAATACAAAGTGAGAGGGCAACAACAAGGACAAAAAGTGGAATACAGCACATGTGCAAGAAAGCCAATAATGGCATACGATACAAGAATAAGCACCTAATTTCAGAATTCACTATCTAGGTTTGAAATTCTCATAAACTATATATAGCGCACCTTTACTAGGACTAAATGTCACATCAAGTGGACATTCGGAGGGTGGACTAGCAAGTGATTCTGGTGTCGTAGCCGTGCATGGTGAGAACGACTGGGCAATCGGCAACCGGAATCGTTGTTCATCATCTAAAACTCATAACACTCATATAAATTACGTTTTATCACTTCACCATCAGACTATCTTTTGAAACAGCAAATTAAAACTTGGAAATCTAAAACAATCTATGAAAGTTGTTTTTTGTCATTCAAGTATAAAAGTGAGTTATTCAGTTGGACAGAAGTTAACTTACATGTCCTCTTACTGTGATATCACACCTAGCATTGTTCAGATAAAACTTAAGAAATTTGTTAACTTAAGAAAAACTTAACTTTAAAAAAAGAACAAAAAATATTTAATTCCCACTACATAATTGCCTACTTTTTTCCAAAGGATCAAGCTAAGTCACAATGATAAGATTCTATTGAATACCAATAAAATACGCTCATATCTGAAAAACAAAGTGCAAAACAACCAACTAAGTATTCGTTAGTCCTGAAAAAATAGCTAAAGGCCACATTCTTCGCTCCAATTTTCATACCCAGTGAATAACTTTTGAAACCGTATTTCTTTAGCATAAGGTTAGGTCATCCAAAACCCACACTAGTTCGACTGTACCATATTCTATACAACCACAACGATGCTGAAGTATACGCAAAACTTGGACCCCGCGCAAGATCAAACCACGATTATCCTTTCCGGGGAATCGTGTTTTACACACTACACCACTGTTTTATGTGTGACTTTTGGTCATATCTCACCACTTTTTCATTGTCATGGTCACAAAAGTTTATAAAATGTAAAAGAAATTTTACACATACAGCGATGAAGAGAACCGTGCCTTGAAAGATCATTGATGACACCACAGTAATACTGTAATAATGTTGTATATCAAATCATGAAAACTTATTGTTTTTAAATGCAAAATTAATAGAAACTGATAGCATGCATATCTGATAAAACAAAACATAATTGAAAGAATAAAATCGTAAGATAAGAATAAAGGAATAATTGTGGGGTGTAAATGCAATGGTGGGAGTAGCCTAAAATAAGTCATTTGTTTCTCACATAGTATCTCATCGCAGAAAATGGTAGTAGGCAGTAAATAAAAAGTTAAGATTGCGATTTCGATTACAGACTCAGCTGAACTGGGCTCAATGCCGATTTGTACACCCCAGACCAAACGCTTTGGGTGATTGCTGATGGCACTGGTAGAAAGTCATCTGTCACACAATAAATCTCACTTTAATAAAGATACGACGTCTGCTCAATGAGATGTTTTCCACATATCTAATGAGAATCTTTATTAACTCTTAACTTTCATACCAAGTTTTCTTTCTCTATGGGTAAATAATATTTTCCAGCAAAAATAATGATCTGCTCATAAAAGTGAAATTATTTTATAATGAAGTTTTAAGAAGTCTAAAAAAATTTGGTTTTGAACATCCCAATTATCTATCAACCCAACTAAATGGTGGAATATGAAGTGACATTTGTGTCTCTGTAAGAAACGTCATAAAAAACACATAAAACAGTGGTACCATTTGGAGGCTTTAAAACGTTTACTCAAGACCTTCAACTACACATATTTCAACCTGCGCAAAAAAGTACTGATCGAAACGAAAATGATCTATTTCAAATAGCCTTTACATCTATTGTATGGATCCCAGCTCTTCTCTCGACTTCATTTGATTCGTTGCACCCATTACTCACCATGGTCTTCGAACTTCTGCCTGTGGGTTTGGCTGCTGCCTGTGCGCTTTCGTCATTATGAATGAGGCTGAATGGTGATCGCGTCAATTCTCACTAGAGCCCTGTGGGACCCTGGTTAGATACGGTGAACTGATCTCAGACAATTATGATACCAATTTCGCGACCATGGAGGGATGGCAGAGTTGGTGAGCACGGGGTCAAACCAACACCGTTATCCTAATGAACAGCTTATGAACATAGTTTGTGCCAAATTCAGTGGTAAAATCTTGTTTTTCAACATTCTAGCTCGCAGATAACTCCCGAGACTCTTCGTAGAATTCTTCTCCAATCCTAATAAAAATTGTGGACAGATCTGCTCCACGCGTCTTAAGTTGGCTACCATACCTAAAGGCACGGTTCCGAACTTCCCTATTTTGTTACCTCTCATGGTTATCATAGAACTTTTGAAATTAGTGTTTTACCGCACAACTGTTGGGAGCGCAACGGTCACAAATGCTACTTCGCACTCGAAGAAAAATTTCTCGAATTCGCTTCATTTTGATTTTTATTTCGATACCACTTTGATTCAAATTAACGTAAAACGCGCGTTGGTCAGAGATGTAATGTAACACATCACCATTCGGTTGTTCTTGTCATCTATGTCAAGAAAATCCTTTCAACAAACCGAACGAAAAAAGTGCTGGGATCCACATAATTAATTAAATTTGTAAACACTCATCCTAAAAATTAGGAAAACCTGACATCAACTTTTAACATCCCGTCTATCACAGAACTATATATTTCTTCTCGTGACTCGTCGTCGTTCAAAAAAAACTTCTATTATAAAAAAATAACATAAAAAGAAGGAAAGACAAACCTTTCTGATGTATAGCCGAACAGCGAATGAAATACGATAGCACTTGTAGAATTGACGCTATGAGATCGCAATCGATCCCGCTCACAACCGTCTGTAGAAAAAAGGTTGTTAGAACTCAATCTCTCGATAGAAATTAAAGCAAAGAGACGTTTGAGAAAAGTGGAAATGCCATGATATAATAATACAGTTCTCTAACCTTCAAAGACTTTTGTTTGATAAATATTAAAAGATATTTAATCCACAAACCTTAGCCATACGGTGTGCACTTCCAACACTACCACTAATCTCCAAATATTGAGCGATTTGAGCATTATACGGCATATATGGGGCTTCATCGTTAAAAATCTAAATGAGAAAGAAATCCATAAGCTACGTGTAAAAATTCGAAAACGCTTTACTATCAACCCTACCGAACCAACAAGCGGATTTTTTTCATGCAGATGTGTTGGTGCGTGTAATGGAGGAGCGACGCTGGCTACCCATGACATATGGTGCATCAGTACTGTTGAGACTACATTCGAAAGGAAACTGGAAGTTTGTAACATTTTAACTTCAAAAACACAAGAACAGCGCTTTAAACAATCAAGACCGATAACAAATGGTCTAAAAAACCATACAATTTAGTGTGCTTCGTGTCAAGTTTTTCCACTAGTCGCATTAGTTGCCGGCAGAAATCTGCCACCACTACGTTTTCGTTATGATCGCGTTCCAGTAGGCTCAACCATACAGGATGACGTAGTCGTGGTGCGTTATGAAGTAGACAAATCGACTCGCAAAAGTCCTGCCATGCCTAGAATTTCCATAACTTGACGATAAATACACAACCACAATGCATACATAGATCACTAAGTGCTGTAACTACTCCAATAATGTATTGCCTCAGAACCACTAGCTCCACCACTGACGGTCAATCTGATACAGCTCGTTTTTGGGCTTCGTGCACAGATTTTTACGATCTATGGTTGATATTTGGGAGCTGACTGCGAACGAGACTATTACATAGACCCACAACGAGTGTACTGTAAGGACTGAGAAGTTGTGACAAGATCAGAAGATTCATCTGATCCTACCGTAACGCACTCGTGAGCACATAATCCAAGCGCGAATACTAAAAAAGGTAAAACCTATCCACAATTTAACGCGGAAATGTCGGTTCTTCTACAAAAAAAAAAAACGATAAATATCCAATAGCTAGACCATCTTTGTGGTTTAGAACATGACATAATTATTGAAGGAACTTTGATTTATTCACCCAGATTTATAAATGCAAATATTTCCTATACTCTACAACAGTTCACCATTCAAACATTGCTTTCAGGAATTCAAAATATTTTGCTATTTAAGTTTAAAGTATGTTGGTATTTTTTATGCTTGTCCAACAAATACGATAGGCATGAACCACTTCAACCATTGGAAATGAAAAAACAGTAAGCTAACGACTAAGAACTCAGCATTTGATACCATAGATGAGGGGCCATGTTCTATAGGTTGTATCAGCAATCACTCGTCAACGAGATCGATGTTGGGAGCACAAATAGATTGATTCGAGTATTGTGATTTTAACACGGCCTCAACTTAACTGAGTTCGACGCCGATTTGTGCTACCCCGATCAATCTCGTCGACGAGTGATTGCTGATAGCACTGGCAGAAACAAAGGATGCGCAAGGCGTGGTGGTGAACGCGTTCGCCCCCGGAAAGGGTGTGAACCGGCCGGAGTTTTGCAAATATCCCAGCATCATTGTGGTTGCATTTCACATAATTTATTGTTACCCTATTATAGTAGCTATGGTTATTGTATTGAATGTGTGGATGTGAAAGTACTGAGATACACTCGACATAAACTGCAAATACATGCGAATGCCGACAGCAATGCATTTGCAATTTGGACCATAGCAACACATTAAATAGTAGCACATGTATCATTCATACACAGGGCAGGGTTTCTTTTACAATCCTGCAATGTTAAAAAACCTCAGTAAGATCTCTAGTTATTGAGATTTTTCTCATTGCTAAAAACCAATCTTGCTCGTAACCGATAGCGCAGCCACGAAATACGGTGCCGGGGAGTAGAGAGTTAAAACAAGCGGCATTAGGGTATCGTGGAAAGGAAGACAATGTGGCACATGTTATAACGGAGTAATACGGTTGGAAATACTTGGAAACACACTACAAAACGGGTTTGACAGGTTCCCACTAGGTGTATCTGTCGCGAGAAGTACTACTGCTTAGAATGTTTCAGTAATGATTATACAAAGTTTCCTTCACCGTTACGAAATTCAGGATAATTCAGGAGATGAGATCATTTATTGTATGAACATGAACTTAAAGCTACAAGCTGCTTTGAAATTTCTTGAAATTTCAAATGCATGGATCTCGTTATTCAGTTTTCGATCCTAAACTTTATATTTTACAGTACATGAAAAATTATTGCCAGTTACTAAAAAGCCACCTTAGTTGCGAAAATGGTAAAGAGTTTCTACAAAACAACGTTTACTTCTGACAGTAGAGTCATACCACATAACGGCTTACCGCCTCATGGTGGTTGGAAGGTGTTTCTGGGAGTCGCGCTGCGATCTACAGCGGGGGATTCATCATTCTACCAGTCTCCGAAGCTGAGAACCCCGCCGTTTCCATCATGCAGCCCATCTAAGAATACACAAATATCAGGATCCACCACTATCCTGATATCACGCCTGTCGCATTGTGACAAGTCTCTCTCTAAACCACAAGGGAGGGGACTGCCAGTGGTGGTGATGACCTGGGACACAATTCGCCAGGCTGACCTCAGGACTAGTCGACGAGTAAATGTTGAATGGTGATAAACTCCGTCATTTGAAGTGAGAAATATTTTACTGGTACTATTTGCGAGATCGATGTCATTGCCAGCAGCTACCATTAGTTACAATATGGAACCAGTTGTCCAATGCTTTTTTCTTTAGTTATCAGTAATATTCCTCCATCAGCAGCCAAACAAACAAAACAGGACTTATTAAATCACCTTATTGACGTTGATAAAGAACGTAGACGAATTGCCGGCAGCATTAGTGACACGCGTTTCTAACCGAGATATTTCTGCTTCAACAAGTGGTATGTGCTTAAAAAGAAATAAATCGATGAAACATGTTCCAAGAAAATACTAGTTTATCAAGGTAAACAATAACAAATCAATCCGATTCACTGCACCTGGAACAAAAAATTCTTTTCTGCATCATTTAGCATAATTCCCAATCCAACTTGACGGGTATGCTCATCGTCAGTTTGAGAGCCGCATGAACTCAAACGTGATCGTGATTTCCATCTAGGCGATGGTGCTAAAAATCTTACTGACGAATTGTTAAAATGAAAAGTATGACCTAACGAGAAAACTTTGATCCCACTCGACAAACAGTTAATGCAAAATGTTCGGCCTACAGTACTGTAACCTTCTTTTTTGAGATTTTACGGATCTCGTGAGATCGATTTCGAACTGATTAATTCCGAGGTTGTTGTGAGTTTCTATATTTTCTAAAAATGGTCTAAACGTGGAATGTCAGCGGTCATGTTCCTGATTTGTGACGCTGGCAAATTAAGAGAATACTCCTCATATATGCTGAGTAAAACACATCGTATGCATGTAAGCTTACAATTGAATGCGTGTTTACACCCATCTGTGGGAATCCTCTCGCTAAAATGTCCACTGGAAATCCATGGGAATCCACTGGTAACTAACAAGAAGTTAATAAACAACTTTATTTGGCTAAGTTTCAACGTCTTCGCATTCTTGAGAACCGACGATCTGAATCAATGGTCCATAGTCGTTCGTCTACTCGATGTAGTGTTATAACGAGTCGAATCCTCCTTCAGTGGAGAACCGTCCTTTTATACAGGACGATTTTTGTTGATAGTGATTGACCGGTGATAATAATTTGTGTTTCCAGGGCAATAATGTGTCCTCTTTCCAAAAATAGCCTGAAAATTAGGCGCCGTACCAAACTGCAGGGACGCTAAAAATCGGTCGCACACCGCGTGTTGTACAATAGCAGTCACAGAGTCACAAAGTGTAAGTCGAAGTTTCCCGGAAGGCAGGGCATAATGCATAAGCTAAAGTGCAAAAGTAACTTAATTTTTATATGGATATTTCTAACTTTTAAGGAAGTAGTGAAGTTAACCAGGGAGTATGGATTAAACATTTGTACATACACTGCTCGCACAAACTCGTTTTATGCGACATTTGTAACCGACGATCACGTGAAAGCCTTGATGCGGTTGGTGGCGAAAAGGGGCGAGCTTCATCAGAATCCTCCTCCAGCTGTAGACTTGCATTTCGCACCTGAAACCAATCTCACGTTTGTAAGATCAGAGTTTGCAAACGAAAATTTGATCTTTAACTTACGCGTTTGAAAGCCTCCGGAGGAACTGTGGATGAAATACATCCTGGTTTGCCATGACTTAATCCATTTAAGCTATCCATGGATCGAACCGTGATGTACTGTGACTGTGATTCTGAATCCGATGAATCCAGCGAGTCTATTGCGCCTCGCATGTCTCTAAAATATCAAGATAGTTCTAATCATTACAATCAGAAAACAATATTTATGATTGTATGGTGAAATGCACCAGAAACATAGCCACTCATGAACCATACGCTTGGTTACCTGGACGGCCCGACCTAATTAGTTGTGCGGGCCCCAGCATATTGTCCATTCTACGGAGTTTTGCTGGTTTAGCTACTATTTCTCTGAGGTCTCGAGGTCAACCTGGACAAAGTCTGCCCAAAGCCGTCACCACCACAGGCAGTAGCCGCCCATGTGGATCAGAGGCAGATTTGCCACCACACGACTAGTTTGGTACCAGAACGGTGGTGGGTACTGGTATTTACTCTTAGCTGGGCTTCCTGATGGAAAAACCGTAATCTTTTCTCAACTTGAGAGACCCTGCTGAGGTGATGAATGAATACTCCCGCTGTACATCGCAGCGTGACATTCAGGAACACCTCTCAGCCACGATGAAGCAGTGAAACGTTTGGGAAGTGATTCACATAAATGCAGACAATATAAAGCATGTGCCAAATGAGGAAATACCTTGAGCTAATTCGCGGTATTCCAAATATACGACTAATAAGTAATCGTTGATCCTCCCTAAAAATGAGCTACTGTCAACAGAATAAGAATATGTAATAGACGATGATAGGCACAACTGTAAGGTGTAAATACGATGAAAAGCAAATCAGTACTGACGGAATGGTATGAATTTTAAACGCATCGCTTCCCACGGCAGTCGGCATTGCGCCAAAAAGCATTTGAGATATGGTTGGAATATCACGACGACGTTTAAGAAACTGAAATGGGGCGATTACCGTTACCAAATCATGGATAGTTATTTTGATGCAAAAAAGGATCCCTAAATACCGTTGTTTTTAAGAAGCGATTGGTATAGCTCTACTGACAGAATGTAAACAACGCCCTTATAAAACCACATTCCATTTAACTCCTTTTCCGGTAATCAACATCTTTGAATATTGATAGAGTTACACGAGACTACTACAAAGCCGAATTGAGGAAACGTTTTGAGGTTATTCATTGCCTTCCTCAGAACCCCAATCGCAATATTTTTAGCTCCCTGCCGTAATCGTTTCGCCCGGATTCGAAAAGTTACAAGTGCATAGCGGGTAATGTGACGGTGCCTACTGCACTTATTTTATTAACTGCTTGACTGGAAAGCAAACTAAACATTTATTAGGTTATTCAGAAATAAATGAGCGTTTTTAACTATATTATTCAAAATGCCATAGGCTGCTTCAAACAAAACTTTACTAATCAAAACAAAAACCATTTCAACCTACACATTATAGTCAACGAGAAGCAAGTTTATTTATTTCAATTGCACAAGATTCTAAGTTCAGGAAGCGATGAATTCGTTGAAGGCATGTTTTGTGTCTTCATGGTTGATGAAGCATTTCTCGCGCAGGAAGTTGCCAAAGTTCTTGAAGAAGTGATAGCCTGTAGGCGAGAGGTATGGCGGATTTGGCAAAGTCTCGTAAGTCAATTCCTTGAAACTGGTTCCGCAATGTAAGGCCAGGCGATGTCGTGGAGATAGATTGGTCCTTTTCTGTTGTCTAATTCCGGTCGTTGTTGTTGAAGTTTACGGCAAGTTTCGTCGATTTGTTCGCAATCCTTCTCTGACGTAATCGTTTTACCGTTTTTTTAAATCGTTTTTTCGTTTTTATTCGAAAAGTTGTGATGAATCAATCCGGCTGCAGATCATCAAACAATCACAGTAACCCTTTTTTGGTATAATTCCAGCTTTGCATTGTGGAACCTGACCGCAATCCAACCATTGAGTTGAACGCCGCCGGTTTTCGCACAGAATCCACTTCTCGTCGCACATCACAATTCGATCAAGAATACGGATGTTGCGCAGAATAAAAGCAGACGACGCTTCAAAACGGCAATTTTTTTGATCATCGTTTAATTCGCGCAGCGCTCACTACTCGCAAGTGAATGAAAATTGTTTCTGTGCTTATGCCAAGCTGCTCTTCAAGCTATCGAACAGTTGTTCGCGTGTTCGCTTCCACTAGTGCCTTCAATTCGACGTCGTCAAGTTCATTGGGACGTCCGCGGCCTCAATTGTCATCGGAATTTCCGGAACCACGTTGGCACTGTTAATTCACCGACTACCTTCACCACAAACGTCATTAATGTTTCAGCCATCCCTACAGCACTACGAACGAGTTTGAACTCAAAAAAACTTTATGAAAATTCATTTTTGACATATAAAATTGCAAAGCTCAAAACAGATAAAAAATTTATCTCTTGACATAGTACAAAAATGGTTAGAAAGAACATAAAATCGGCTTTCTAATGACATATAATATTGCAGAGTACGAATAATACGTTATTGGCAAAAAAAATACATTAAAACAATATTTAAAAATGTCCATTTATTTCTGAACAACCTAATAATTACCTCATTTTCTTAAAAACTTCTCCAAGTGCTTTGGAAACAAAGGAGAAATTCCTGATAAACCTACAGAAAAAATACATGAGTTCTCACACTAGGAAAAGAATAACACACCTGGAATTTCTTGCAAGTTGACAACTGAGCATTCGGTGGCAAAATCCGATTAGCGATCGGTACAATGGAGGCGGTGTCAAATAGTACACGTTGTTCTGCTTCAATGAGTACCATTCGCAGCATATCTGGTCGAAGTTCCCGCTCGCACGTGGTACTGGAAAAAAAAGAGGTCTTTACATTGCCCACTGTGTTGATTACTACTCTAAAAAAACTACTCAGTTCTACTACAAAAGACATTTCTGGAAACAATAAAAACGAATTCTTGGTGACTTCGCCTCCACTTCTGTTCTATTTCTATTACATACCATATGGAATCAAATATGGCACCCTTTGCCACAGAAGTTGCCGATGACCCTTGAAGTGTTGTTGGTAACACCATTGTATCCTGTTGTTGCCGATGATGGTGCTCTCCTATAGATTCCTGCGGCTGTGATGGCTTCACAAACGCATTTACCTCCGTTTTTCGACGTTTCGTTGCAGGAAAGATCGTTTTAATGAACGACATACCTCAAAACGACATTTTAAAGCACTGAAATCACGACATCACCAGCACTAAAAAGTGTGATCCATATTTAGACTCATAACAATCTAGGGAAATATGTGATGTATTGATATTGTCAAAACTAGAGGACCATTCAAAAACGATCTGTCAAGTGCGCCCCATAGACAAGAGTAACGAGAAGGACCGCAAATAATCAATTATAAAAATCTCCTAATACTTGTATTTTTAAATGGCCCGAATTTACATCTACTGTGAGGATGCCAGCACTTCCTACAAGCAAATCGTTTCCTTTCATCAATCATCCACGAAGATCTTCGAACCTTTTTGCGTTTGGGTTCGGTTGCTGCTTAAACACGTTCATCTTCACCACGAGTATCACTGAGTATGGTACATTCTCCCTAACCGGACTAGGGACGTTCGAACGTAGAGTGGAAAGTGAGGTAATCTCAAACAAACTCGCGTCAATTTTCATCCACAGAAAGACGACAGGCTTGGAGAGCCCTGGAATGGAGTTAAACCGGAAGCCTGTTTCTGATGGACGGCATCACTGTCACTGCGCCATCGGCTCCCAAATGATAAATAAATGAAGGAAAAAAAATACATTTTCTATCCTGGTCAACATAGTTGAGGATGGGTAATAAGGCAAGGTATTGTGTGAAATACAATTATTATGATGCTGTGACATTTGTTGAACTTGGATTCCAGGCAGATACGACCCTGCCATTACCTTTTCCGAGAGCTCACGTGTTACCCACTGCAACAATGAGGCCCTCGTCTTCCTTTCTTCTCAGCCGGTTTTTTACCCTAACGATAGTATCAGCAATCAGCTTAACTACGTTCAACGCCGGTGTTTGCTCCCCACCTAGATCATTCCTATCGATGGTTGGCTGCTGATGGCAACGTTAGGGTAAAAACTTGGCCCAGAGGAAGCGAAAGTAAAGGCTTCAGCGGTGCAATGGGTAACGCTTGAGTACACGGATAGGAAATGGAAAGGGGACTGAAAAGGCTATATGGGGTGCGTCCAAAGAAGCCATCGATCAAAATAAGGAATCCTAATCATCGCAATCAGCTCAACAGCACTCCCACTGCCTGTACATAACAGACATAAGCTGTCATCAGAACGTTCAAGCTCCTCATCTGTGTCACGTGTTATCTTCTATACCGAGGAACATCCGCGATCGAAAACACATTGTGGTTGGCCGGTCATATTCCAAGAAGTTTGCAACGTTGACACTAAAAAGATAGAGCACCTCTTAGGATGACCACCTATAATATGGATGGACGCATTTATCACGCCGTGTTATGATAATCGGAGATATCACCGATCTTGGAAGTCTCATCGATGCAAAACGACGTTCGTCAAGGTGATCTTTCCAGAGAGGACCCATCCGTCTCCAGGTAGAGTCTCCAAGTTCAGCTACGACTAAATCATCACAGGGTATCACCGCCGTCAAAACTTCAGTTGCAAGGCGGAAATCCTGTGGATTCACGGGAATCAGAGAGTGACTATGATGACAATCTAAGAACGCATTACTCCGGTTACTTTACGAACTTCAAGGAAAACTATACTTTCCTCAAGTAGCAAAATACCATCCAGTTTAAGATATATATATATACTGACCAAACAAACCACTACTGTTTAATCCCCAAGATTTTAGCGTTTTACTACGCTAGGAACGATTAGTCACGTGTACTTTGAGAGTTCAAAGATTGTGATGTGTCACCTTATCTGTTAATAGCCACCACAATAAAACCAGATACTAGTCACGTCCTTCAACGACACTCATGTCAAAGAAACATCTCTTCAAGTCTGAAAATAGAATAAAACAACAGAATAACTTTTAAAAAGTATTACGGACAATTCGCAGTCAAGACGTCCAGTAAAATATGAAATCAAGCTGGTACACAATCGTGCAGAGTAAATTCCTAGACAGTGTCGAGAAAAATGCTGTTCGGGAGAAGATAGATAGTTCAACGTAACTCAACTACACTCTAGGAGTTATGCCTCCAAAAACAACTGGAAGGATGTAAAATCCGTGGATAGCAAGTCTCCAACACATGGCAAAATGATATCTAAGCTCCGATGTATAGCATTTAATCACAAGAATCAATAAATAAGCTTTGTGAAAGAACTGAGTTGGTGGCAAGGTAACGATCTCTCCATGATGTTTCGTAAGTTTTGTAAAGTGGAGAAAAACAGTAGGTAGAAAATCAGAACTGTGAAAACCACACAAAAGGACACAACAACATGCAAAGGGTTTCGTAATAGAAGTAGGCACTCTTAGTCACAATGAACATGTTAATAACTTGTTTCAGGTGTATATGATATAAAAAGATAAATTTAACCGTTCTATTAACCCAAAAGTCAGTTTAGCAGAAATGAGATTTGTAGCACAAATATCGTGCTAATAGGGATCCTGCTTGATTCATAGGCTATAAAAAACTGTATTTAGGATCACGGAGATCTGTGAAGAAAGCCACCCGAACTTGTTCTAACATTCGTTGACTAACGAAAAGAGTTCGAAACATCGGAACAAGTAACACTCTATCAGAGTTCCCTGATAAGTGAGGACACCTGTCCTATATAAAAACTCATGTTACAGTGATTTCTTTACAAAAAAAAAGGTTTCACATCAACTTCCAACCATCCCCACAAGAAAACCGAAAAGGCGACGCTATCTTACCAAAATTGCTTAGTCCGGCACTTCGGTAGGAAAAATGAAGCTACTCAATTGAGAAGAGAAGAGTATATGCACTGATAAGGAAGTCAGGTAAAATTTTCGTTCTGGTGGTAACGTAGTTTCAAAGAACACCAGTAAACCAAGAAGTCTGCTTAAGAAGCTCAAAGAAGGAATAAAAGATAGGACTGCGAAAGCCGAAAGAAATCCCAGTTCACGTGAGAGCCATAGCACAAAGAAGAACAAGTCGAAATTGATAGTCTTCTGATTACAAGGATTACCTCCTCATAAATAGAACACAGCTGGGAACGTACCATATATTCTCAAAAAACGGCCGACTGGTTAGCCGATCCAAAACTCCGCGTTCACCTTTTCAACTCAGTAGTCCTCTCAGATTTCTGCTATGTAGCTGAGACATATTTCACATCTCAACCAAGTCAATAACTTTAAATCTGTCGATAACACAGGCGTTTGAATGACGCTTCCTAATATATGGCCGACGACCCGTAATTTCCGATCTCTAACGCTAGTCACCCATATTCAGGTTCTGTATAGGTCGAAGTACTGCGTACATCACATTACCTCCTACACATTGCCCATACCTCTTAAACATTTCCCTTGTGTGGCAGAAAAAAAGTCCGTCTACCATAAAGAATAATGCTGTCACCTACTGGTAGCTATTGGTAGTCTCTTTCGCACTATCTCCGTCTCTTCCTGCTCCATTCCACTATTAAATTCATCATATCGAATGGTAAACGGAAAAACAATAACAGGTGTCGATGAGATCAAGACAATCATCGGTCTCTGCTTTAAGATGGGCAACGTTAAGGTACAACGTCTAAGAAATCATTTAAGTTTTGGTTCTGTCTAGGCATGACCTTTCTGTTCACAAGTTATGCCAGAAGACAACTTTTCAGGTTCAGATCACCTCTACTTGTCGGATAAGACAAGACGTGCTTATCAGCCTGCTGGTCGAACTTCTTCACAGAAATTGCGGGCTACAGAATGAAAAAAAAATGCCAACCACTTCTGGTCTTTTTTAGAAGGTGAATGACATTCCGATAACATAATCCATAACAAATAAATATAACATCGCGCATCTAGTTCAAGACCCAAGTCTATTCGAGGTTGATTAAGATGAACAAAACGAAAATGTCTACAATACGAAGAAAATGTCTACATTCTCAAATAGTCATCACTTGGACGATGGCTGTCATCAACAAAGAAAACAGAGATGTGTTGGCCTCTTTCGGAAATTAGACAGATGTTGTGACGCCAAAACTTAAGGAATACATTCCAAGAAGCTGACACCTAGAGGTAGCCAATGCAACAAACACTTTCTTCTTCTAAAATTATTAACAATAATTTCAATAATTACCACAAGAAGAGTTAATTGCAGAGCCTAAAGACCATAGCAGCCATAAAATTGTGAATGAGTATGAAGGACGGTAAAGGTTTCAGTGTAATTCAATGTAAATTATGCGCTAGAAGTTCTCGTTGCAAAGGTTGAAGGTTATGATGACTAGGGAAGGTATGAAAATGTTGATCGCAAGGATTTACCAATGTAATAGTCTCTCCAGTATCATCTTATCGTTGCGATAGCAACCCTAAGTTTGGGAATTTATAGCGCAATTGCCCCTGGATTGAACTTCGACTCGTTTTTTTCTCTGAAATTTTGAAGTGCAAAACACAGCTTTCTTGAACCGAAACCCGTTATAATATGTGCTGGGTACTGGGTAAATGATTAAAAAGTGTAGCAAAAGCTCAGTTCAACAAAACAAATGGCCAAGAAAATGAGTCATATACGACTTACGTCGACCAATTTCCCCCGAAACAGAGAAACTATGGATATGATTTCTGTTGTTGCCAATGTGTTAAAAGTTTACGGCAATATTAAAGCGGCGCACAAAAAGTGTCCTTTTCAGATTTTCGAGAGCCACCTTTTCTTAACGACCAAGGTAAATTATATGTCGAAAACGAAATTACAGATCAGCCGAGCACATGATGAGAAGAAGTGACAGAAAAACAGCGGTGTGCTCGTTCCAAAAACTTAGTAGTACATCTTGTTGTATTCTTAAGCTTACACGAGATTTGTATAAAACTTTTACTTGACCAGCGTTCCGCCGCATTCGCCTTCATCAGATCCACGCCGACGGGAGGCGACTGTCCACGGCGAAAATCGTTGTCGCGATATGGATGTTCTAGTCAAAATCCAATGAAATAGAGCACCGGTCAAATGAAGAACCCCATTTGGTAGGGCGTTTTCATAGTGGACGGGTGTTCATTCTTTGCTATCCGACAAAAAAAGTTATAAAGCTTTTGGTG